ACAAAGATAACCCTATCACCCCTATCACTCAAGAAATCCCAAGGGTTTGAAGAGGTCTGCGCTAGGAACTGGGGTGAAGAACAAATATGTGTATTTCTTATTATGTCACAACATCACAGGTATAGGTATCCCTATTTGCCAGATTTGCCAACAGGATTCTTACCCTGTGGTCCCTCCTCCTGGTTAATCCCCCATTCAAGGCACAGTTTACTGTCCCTAGGCAGACAGTAGTCCAGGGCATGGCCGGATAGCATCTTTTTTTTTCCTCTGAAGGGCCTTTCAGGGACAACTCAGAAAAGTGATCTTAAACAGCCAGTTTAGGGCTGGAAGGAGGAATTTTATAGAATTTGAAGTTAAATAATAGAAAGGAGAAGAAACGTGAGAGCTTAAATAAATCTGTGGCCATGTCTACGGAGCACTGGGTAATCTATTAGGGTACGAGATAGTAAAGAGACCTCTCAAGGTGGGAAAATGAGAAAAGAAAGATTGGAAGGAAATTGCACAGTGGAGAAGTGAGATTTCCCGGGCACCTGAAAATGTAATCTCTACTCCCAAAAGCAAGCCAAGAAAGATACATATTAGACTCTACTGTAAAATAAAGGTAGAGGGGAAAATGCTACAACTCTAGTACAGGACATACCAGGTGCTCAAATGGCTTAAAAATAAATAAAGATCTTGACTTTGTGGTACTACATCAAAATATTCCTCTGTTCTTCTAAGAGTGCACCTTTGCCAGAAGCAAGGGTCTTTAGAAGGGAGACACAAATGCAAAGAGGTCATGGTCTTCTAAAAGGAATATATTTTATTATTCCAACCTATTAGCTTTATATCTTAAAGCCAATAATCAAGTACAAAATGTCTCAAAGAGCTTGGAACACATTTTATAAATAAGTATGGGATCTGAAGACTGAAATCATTAGATTTTCTGAATCTAATATCTCTTATTAAAATTCCATTATTAAATCCATTGAAGATGGATCAAATGAAGCTTATGCAAGTGCAGAATAAATCCAAACTATCAAAAAGTGAGTTAACAATGTCTTTAATTCTGATGCCTTCCTGGAGGGCAGGTATTTTCCTGGTTTGAGCTACTTGGTGAAAATCCAGAAACCGGTAACCTTGACACCTTTATGATAAGGTCACTTGCCCATGAGGAAATAAGCTATCAGCTTCATTTGGGGAATTTCTATATTGATCTTGCTTAGGAAATGCGGGCATCAAAATTTGGATTCAAAATTTGGATTTGGATTTAAAATTTGGATTTAAGGG